GTCGCCTATCCAAACCGGATGGTTGCTGCAACAATGTGGCATGACGGCAAATGGCGTAAAGGCGCAAATGGTGTTGCCTCAGGTCCATGCTTTGTGAGCCCTACGTAGTGTGTTCTCTATGCCCGTTTTGACGAGGCATGCTCAAGGCATGCTCAGATACATGTTGTAGCTTCACGTTGCTACCATTCCGCGGCGTTTGCTACATTGCGAAATTGGATTTCGGACCGGAGAAGGCGCGCACAGTGGAACACTCAGGCTGGCATATTCTGCTTTTCCCGGTATCATTATTTGCTGGTTTTGCATGCTCTAGACAGGGCGTCCACCCACGGGAGGCGGTCGCTGCGCACCGTGGGATATTGCCAATACACAAATATGGAGTGGTTACTGCACAGGGTTCCTGGCGTAGGCGTACTCCTGCCACATTGGCACGTGGGGACGGGCCCTTTGGGGTATTGGGTGAAGTGGGGTCAGGGGACGCTCGCTAATTGCGCCCAGAAGCTTCCAGCGTCTTTGCGAAATCCGACCACCTATGCATGGATGTCTTTTAGAAGTGAGGCTTCGTTGTGGCGCCTGCGGCAGCAGGCAACCTCGAAAGATTGTGCAGTATATGGTAAGCCCTTCATGCGTTCTGTTGTGGGGCACAGTGTGCTGCGCTTCCTGCTATTGTTTGCACAAGCGTATTACCCGTGTTGGTGTTAAAGATACTTCGAGGGGCATGTGTCGATTTTGGGTAGCCAGAAAAGGACGTCGTTACACCGTTTGCATACGGGCGTGTTTTATGGGTTGACCACTGGAGCAGCTTGTGCGTCGCATGCAAGGAGAGGCAAGGCGGGCTGGAAATGCGTGGAGTGCTTACGAGACACTCACTGCAAGTTCAACAACATATCTGGCACTCGTCCTGAGTTTGTCCAGAAAGAGCTCTGCAGTGATTTCGCCCCATCGTCCGCAGATAATCACGACTTTTTCCAGAAAGAGCCTTTCAGCCGCTGGCCTCAGACCGATTGTAGTGGCCCATGATGCATGTGTGCCGCAGTCAGTTCACCATTCATTGGAAGGACATGGTAACTTGCTAGCGCATGTGTAGAACTGTCTTGTTGGCGATGCGCAAAATACGCAGCGTGTTGTCACGGTCTTGACCGATCGTCAGCGTTAGTGCATGGCATTTCCGGAATGCTCGTTTCGTTTCTTAACGTGCTGGTGTTGTGGCTGGGAGCAAGTGGTAGTTTTCGTTGATGACTTTGGATGCTGCCCTCTGGGTGACCCAACTCGGGACAACGCTGCGAAGGGGTCGTGGAAGCCATGTACTGTAGAAAACGCAGCTTGGCAAGTTCCGTCGTGGCCTTTGCTTGACCAAGATGAATGATTGTGTAGATAATTCTCCGGTGTTTTGGAAACTTCCAAGAAGACCTGGAAATCTTGGGCCTGTGACTGAAAGCCAATGAGGTATGAATACACTGGTTTCTGGATTATAGACAACAGTGGAATCATTCACACTTGAAGGGTCCATGCAAGCAGCCACTGAGACGCCGAGCAAAAGCTTGACATGCGGGCATTCGAGCTTGATTTGGTGTGTTGTATGCTAATAAAACTGCGATTCATCCAATGGAAAGGAAATTTCCGCGCCACCTTCTGTTTGTGCAATCCCGTATTGACAGGTATGTCCCAGTTTCCGCTGGAGACCACCTATAGTACGTGCGTTTACCTTGACCCTTTAGAGTCGTTCGCATTGTTTAGCGAGCCAATTTTGGCACATGTGCGGCCGTGTGGGGCTGTGGCCTCTACCACTTACGGGCCAACAGACTGCCCAAATATCCAAGAAGCGTACAGCGGTTTTTTACTGGATACCCAATTTTACTTGCTGCTGCTTAAAATTCTACGATTTAATTTCAGAACTTCAGCATCTCGAGACTGTACATATCCCACTTGACAGCCGCGCGAAGTGTTCAAGATTCCAGTTACAGAACTTGCTACTTAGAATTACAGAAGAAACGGGCTAATTCACGCTGAGGAAAGATGTTTGGGAGGAAAATAGCTGGAGAACGCAGCCAATTCTGCGAAACGCGCCAAGGAAATCTTGTAGTTGCTTCCTGCCGGTGTAATCTAGGCAACGCTACGAAGTAAAGTGAAGTAAGGAGCAGCAGTAGGTGAAAGCAACAACGGTCAGCGGCCATCCGCTCCTGCGAAGCCTAGCTCCAGGTGAATCAAAGAGTCAATGTCACCCTCTAATGAGCAAGCCCGTGCTCACCTGCATCGTCGTCTCTGACAACGTACGCGCACCAAGGATGTAGCCGCATGCAGCTCCAAGTTTCCCCTTTGGCAAAAGAAGTTCAACAAATAATGCATCTTAACGGCTCCCTCCGCACATTGGACATGAATGGCTTAATTCTCCTTGTGATACATTGAAGCCATTTTTCAATCACCCTCTTCCTGAAATCATGCCATGAGATGAAACCGCGCCGTCCTTTCAGCTGTGAGGCTGGGGGAAATTTGTACAAAACGCGCTTTTTTCTATATTCTTGTAGAGGGACCAAATAGGTTCTGCAGCGTTAACTAGGAAGCTGCCAATTCACTTGTGTCGGGGGTCGCACAGATCCACTTGGGGGCAGCAGTTAGCGACTGTCCGTTTCACTTTTTGCGCGAGACCACCATTTATTGATTCGCGTACCATCAAATGCATGCTGTGGTGCAGAGGTGGAAAGCCTAATCCTGTTATTAGGCGCGTTTGTGCCGACACAAGATGCAACAAACGGGCAGCTGGCTTTGCCCGAGTAATCAAACATGAACAGTCGAGCTGCGGCATCTGCTTGAATTGACTGTTGCGCATAATGATGTGTACAGGTAGTGTTTGGAAAAAAACATATTCACGCGAAAACAGGCGATCAGTCCCACGTGGGACCAAGGCAGACAACACAGGACTGACGGAGAAACAATCGCCTGGTCACCAGCAAAGTCTTTTAATTTGAACAATACAGAAAATGTGTGGACCTCAAGAGCGTATTTAACGTCATGCCACTCTGTGTCTAGCATGTTGTGTGGTGTTATCATTGTTGAACTTCGCCTCAGATTTGACCGTTTCTACCGCGTGCCAACTGCAGGTCTGCACTTCTTGATTCGTTTGGTGGACAGACTCGGGTACACGCACAAGCTGAAGGATAGCAGCTGCCCATCGATAACCAAACACCCACCAGGAACAGTGTGCGCTTCTAGGGGTGCAGCGAAACTACGAAAACTACAGCTATATGTGGTTCCTCACGATTGTAGTCGTTTCTGCCGCACCTTGGCAGGAACGAAGGAAATAAAAAGTTTTGCACGCATGCAGCCCTAACTGCCGCCTGCCCCCCTTTCCTGGTCAATTTCTTTCTCGTGTCTAATGATTTTTGCCTGAAGACGCGTGCCACCTAAGGAGAAAAAAGACGAAGTGCCACGAGGAAAGACGAAGAATATAAGGAAAGGGGGACAGGCAGCACTTAAGGATGCAAGCACGAAACATGTTTGGACCCTTCGTTCCTATTGTCAGCTCTTGTGTCGGTTTGTCATGTTGTTGTGAGATATTAGGAGAAGGGCATTTTCCTTCAGAAACGAAGATATCTAAGAAGAGGTGAAGTATCGCAGTCTTTCCTCGCTATAGCGGCCATAAAAGATATGCAGCCTTAGGGCTGCATGCGCTGCCCAAAAAGGGAGTTCTTAAGGCGAACTTTTGTTTCGTTTAGATGTCCAGTTTTTGGTTTTCTTTTTGTTTCTATAGTCCTCATAGAGCCCTTTTTTGTTGGTCCTTGCTGGCCGGAACCTGCCGAAGCTGCGGTGTTCGTACGCCTCCAGACTCTCCCTTCCTGCATAAGGCTATTTTGCGTTGACACGTTTTTGCGTTCTCTTTCAATTGGCATACGGGCAAGAAAGAGGGTGCCATGTGGTGTACGGACAGCTACGGGAGCTCGCCTCCCCTTTCTTGCTAGGGCGGTCTTTGTCGCTTTTGCCGCATGGCGCTTTCGCATTTAATTGTGCTTCACTTGCGTCTTCTTCGTGGACGAATTTATTTGTGAAGTATTGTATCTCTTCTTCTCTTGCATTCCTCTGATACGCTCTGAAGATGGACGCCCTCCGCGCGATTATCGCCAAGCAAAAGCAACAGATTAACGGTGATACTCAAATTGTGTGCATTTTTTGTCCTCTTTTATCGCCCTTAGCGCCCATTATTAAGTTTGTAATAAGTAATGGGAATTGAATATCATTAATGTGTTTATTTACACTTGATTTCCCATATTCTTTCCGGTTTCGCGCCGGAGCGCTTTTCACTTCACCTGCCTGCAGTCAGTTGGGGTAGTGCCTATGCGTGAACGGCGGCTGGCAAGGAGGACTTTGTTGCTGTTGCACTCTGTGCTACGCGTATATGTATATATTAATGTAAACACATTCAATTTGACGTGTTTATTGACTGGCTGTATTGAGATCCTTCACTTTCCTTTATCTCTGGTGTTAGCGGCGTTGTACTTTCTGTACGAGGTTTCCTGTTTCGTTTTGCGATTGTATTTGCTGTATTTTGTGATTTTTTTCCTCGGCTATTTGCTCGTTTTTGTTCGTTTTCCTTGCTGCAGAGTTGCCCAAGGCAGGGCCTGGAAAGTATATACTGCAGAAGGATCTGCAGCAAAAACTGCGGGAGCAAAAAGACCGAGAGCAAGAAGAAACTGCCAACAAAAAGCGAAAGACAGAGCTGCAGCAACTGGCCGTAAATAACACAAACATGCTCAACAACAAGCGACAGCGCTAACACGAAGACAGAGACAAAGGCATACAGACAGGCAAACAGGCGGACACACAGAAATATATACACAGACATGGATACAGAGAGCAGTGCAATCAGACAGGTAGCAGCGGAGGTTAAGGTCAAAGCGTCGGAAGAAACACGCATAAGCAATGAGACAGGGATAAGGACAGAGTCAGAGTTTTTTACAAAAGGAGTACTATCGGGGTCTTTATCTGGTTATGCGTGCTTCGCTCATTGTTTCCCTGTGCGTGTAGTTGGCGTTTGCTATGTTGGTCATCTTTTGTTGGTTGAAGGCTTAGTAAGACACTTCTGTTTGTAGTGTCTCTCGTTTTTGCTGCATCAGGAGCTGCAGGAGCGCCTGAAGGCGCGGGCTTTCCAGCCGCATTCTTCTGAAGCAGAAGCTACGGTTGCTGATGCAGGTGGTGGGTTTTGTGTCTTAAAGAGAATATTCCTCTTGTCGCTCTCCTATCCCTTGCTTAGCTTTCTCTCGTGCTTTCTGCTCCCCTCACCCGATTCTCAGCTGCTGCTGCTGCAGCATCTGAGAATCGGCAGCAGCTGCTGCAGCAGTGCTGCTGGTGCCTGCACGTTTTGCTGTTAAATAGTCGCATTTATTGTGTCTCTTGGTGTCTCCCCCTATCTCTGCATCGTCGCATTGTCGACCCGTCTTTCTTTCTTTTTCGTCTCTTCGCTTTGCTTCAGAAATGCATTTGTTCCATTTCCACCTGTACGCACCTTCTCTTTCGCAATCAGTGTGTTGTTCTTTCGCTAGTTTCACTGATTGGACCGAGATGTTTGTACACTGCATACAAACTACTTCTGCCGTAGGTTTATGCGCGCCGCGGCTAGATTTTGTGCTTCCTCGAGACAATCAAATATGCGCATGCATGCATTGTTAGGCTGCTTGGGGTTTGGGGTGTACAGACACTGCGGAGGGAAGGGAAGAAGAGCTAGTGCCGCCTGTAGACCTGCCGGAGATATTTAGACGCCTCAGGAGGCTGAAACAACCCATCACGCTTTTTGGAGAAACACCTTGGAAGCGGTACGCTTGTCTTGCACACTCTCGCTTGCTCTCAGATTCCTCCATGTTATATAAGCAGATATAGGCGTATGCATGGATATATGTGCATGTGCATATAATTGCAGATGTTTAGACTTGTATGCCTTTCTGTTATGTGCGTATGTGTATTTGCTGTTTTCTGTAATTATATTCATATATATGTATTTACATGTTGCTATCTATTTACGCATATATGTATATATATATGCTGTTATCCATCTACCTGCACCTATATATATATATATATTATATATATATGTATATATATATATATGTATATACATGCAGCACCACAAGCATGCACGCACATACGCATGCATACTCGATGTTCCATATAATGCATACTAGGATGTGTTCTCGTACATTCACATACTTACCTAATATTTATGCACGCACATTTACACCAGTAGCTGAACCATGTGCAGGGGCAAATTGCTTCTCCTGGGGTGTGTGTACAGGTACGATCGCCTCTGCAAGTTGGAACTGCAGGCGATTGACGATGAAATGACAGAAGGACAGAAAAATGTGTTTCATGCCATGCAGCGCGAGGGAGAAGAAGAAGAAGAATTCGATGAAGACGCCAGTATGGCTCAAACCCTAAACACCAATTCCTAAACCCTAAACCCAAGCCCCATCCAGCGCAACGACGCGGGAGGCTTTCTTGGGGGTGTTTGAATGGCCTGCAGTTCGTCCCCCAGGGCCCCTTTTTTGCTTACGGGAATGGTATATCCGGTGTTTTTGTCTTTTTCTAATTTGCCGGACAGACAAAGGCAAAAAGGAGACAAATTCTGAATCAACAGACGCCAAACAAAGCCAAAATGAGGAGACAACAGAAAAGAGCAAGGAGGCAGTGTATGCCCAGCGCTATCACCTTTGATGCTGCCCGTGTTGCTGTTGCTTCTGCTGCAGCTGCTACTGTTGTGGTTGCTACTGCTGCTACTGATGCACTCCTTATTTGGAAGTCAATGAGAGGGCAGTGTCTGACAATTCTACCTTTGTCTTTGTGCCTGTCTATCTCTGTCTTGGTCTTCATTTAAGCTTGTCTCTGTGTGTCGCTGTCGCTGTCCCTTTCTGACTCGGTTGATGTCTCTGTATCTGCATTTGTTTGCCAGTACATTCATTTCGCTTTGCGCGTTGCTTCGCTTTTCCCTTCCTCTGGATGCATGTCCTTTTTTATCGCCTGTTTCCCTAGGTGCCTGCCTCCTCTTGCCTCCGTTGTCTCTAAACAAATATTTGTCTCCTCCTACCTTAAGTGCTCGTGTTTTTTTGCGGAATGAATAGGTGTCTCCTGTCTCTATGTTTATATTTGCCTCATCTGTCATTCAATAGTTGTTCGCTTCATTTGCGTTTTTTGCTTTGTCTCTGTCTGCAGCGTCATTGCCTGGGCGCGCAAAATGCTGTCTCTTTGGGAAGATGAACTAAAACACCGGTGCGCGTTTCTGTTGGTGTGTGTTGTCGTTCTCTGTTTCTTTTTTTGTTGTAAGCGGAGGCACAGCGTTTGATCGTCGCCATTTGCTGCAGCTGTTGCAGCAGCAACAACTAATCCTGCAGCAGCAACGCCACTGTCTCCCAGCTGCCTGCTCGTTTATTGCTCCACCGTACTTAAATTTGGTCGCATTAATAAAGTATAAATATAAATATATATATATATATATATA